ACACACACACACACCACACACACACACACACACACACACACACACACACACACACACACACACACACACACAGAGAGAGAGAGAGACAAATGAAAGCTGTCCTGTTTTCTTCTGCCTCGCCTCTGCCAACTTAATTTGCAAATGAAAAGTTTTGTGAGGAGCGTCCTTTTTGCTTCTGGGGCATGGCAGCACACTGTGTGTTTCGGGGTGGGGGGTGAGGATAAGGGTATGACAGAGGGTGTGTGTGTGTGTGTGTGTGTGTGTGTGTGGCAGAAACCCAGATGAAGCAGCCCTCGCCCGGGGCTCTCTGTCCGCCCGCGGTAGCAGCAAGCCTGTTCCCTCTTCCCCGGCCCGCCGCGACCATTTGTTCCATTAACCAATCTCCTGGAGCCTCTGGTGCAAATACACACACACACACACACATCCACAGACATACTTCAACAACTGCTTGCACAGCTCATACCACACATGGCCCTCCATCCTTCGCTCCATCCCTCCCTCCTCTCCTCCAGACGCACGCACCATCTTTCTTGGTGGAGGCCATATGGCCCAGTGAAGCCTGTGGATCTACAGGCACATCTGCGTATATGTTGCTGCTCCTTAAAGGCTGCACAGTGAACACACACACACACACACACACACACCACACACACACACCACACACACACACACACACACACACACACACACACACACACACACACACACACTACACACACACACACACACACACACACACACACACACACACACACACACACACACACACACACACACACACCCACACACACACACACACACACACACACACACACACACACACACCACACACACACTTCCAGGGCTGACGAACACACTCTGCTGTCACAATGTGTGGTTAAGCAAACGTTGGTGTGATGTTGGTCTTATGTGTGTGTGTGTGTTGGTGAGTGTGTGTATGTGACCTCAGTGTGTACATGCATAGTGATAATTGGTGAAACAGCCTGCGAGCAGCTGTGGGGTGAGAAAAGGTTGCGTGGTGTTTCGTGGAGAAAGCGGAGAGGAGGAGGAAAGTTGGAGAGTAAGAGAAGAGGAAAAGGAAGTGAAAGGAGAGAAGAGGGCGAGGCGAGGAGAGGAGAGAAAGTTTAAAAAGCTGCAAAAGTCGGAAATATTTTCAGAGCTGTAAAACTGAAATACTTCATCATCCATCATTAGGCTGTCCATTGATTGGCACGTGACCTTTTGCTTTTGGGATTTCCAATTTACCCCTGGGAAAATGCCCAGTCATCATTTTGTAACAGATCTTGTACGCTATGATTTAAAGATCTCAAGCTTTAATGACTTGTAAAAAAAACACGATCCATCGGCCAGCATTTGAATCTGTGATTTGGTGTGATGGGAATTATGAAATGTAATCTATTTGTTTTAACTAATTAATTCTGACCTCACTGAGAATCAAGGTGAAAGAGATGATATATTTTTAGGTCTGTAAAAATGTACGTGAAAAAAAAGCGTGAATTACATTTAGATGCTGTGTTATGAAGCTCCCTAATAATATCTTCGACCTGGACAGAGTTTCTTAATGTTTTTAAGAAATATCCAATAATACATAAACATACATTTGCACAAAGCAAGCATATTTGTCCAATTCCATGTTGTTGATGAAATAGTTGAAAAATCTCCTTTTATGTATCATTTTGTATTGATACAAATGTATGAGATATATTTACAATCAACTATGGATTATCATTTGATGAATCGCAATGAAATATTTTAAATCAGCTATAATTATTTTCTTTGGATATGCTTGAAAAAGGCACAAGACATTTGCATTATAACTAAGTAAAAATGTCACAGATCAAATACAGAATCTGAAGAAAAAATCTGAAGATGACTTGAAGAACTGAAATAAAAACTGGGCTGGAAAACCTTCCAAGTTTCATGTAAAATGTAACTTTTAATAATATGATTACTTATATAAAAAAGCATGATATCAAAATAAATCATTAACAGTAACTGGCTTCAGATCTTCCCTAACTCCATCCCTCCACCCTCCGCTCTATTTCCGGGCAAAAAAACAAAAACAACACCATCCGACATCCCAAAATAAATAATTAAGTGGTGCAGCAAAACATTGTGTGCTAAAACCCCTGTGTAGTTTGGCAATCAGCTTGCCCATGTAAAAATAAATCAAGCTGATTTTCCAAATGTTTTGTGCGTGGTGCGCTGTTGCCGCTCTTCGCAGCACAGATTGCAGGCCGATGGAGGGGCTGTGAGGAGGGCGGGGCGCTGGATATTGAACCCACTTGCACCAGCTTGTTAACACGTACACCTTAACCCCCGAGTGGCGCGGCGGGGAGCCACCGAACGCTCGGGGCCTGCAGGGAAACCACGATGGTATATCGATGTATGGACGAGACATACTGAAGATAACAAGTACATGTATGCTATTCAGTTTGACATAAGGACCGTAGAGGGACTGAAGTACAACTGCATGCACACAGAGTGAATCCCTGCCTCCACGGCTTAATTCAGACATCATTGCAAGATATGACTGCCATCAAGCCCTGATAAATACTGTGGATCTGTTTTTTTGTTTAAGCTAAAAGCGATGTGTTAAGAATATATTTGTGGCATGTTTTCAAGTTTTGCCCCCGGAGTACGATCAGTACCATAAATACAATCACTTACTGAGTACCAGCTGCGGTGTGGATCATCGTAAACGTGAGTCATACCTCCTTCCTGTCTCTTTCCTATACAATAAAATGTATAAATGGCAAAAATACATTTAATTACGGCTCAAATCTAATAACTACATTCCCAAAACATACACCAGAAATTGTGGTCAAGCGGCTTTTCAGTCACTGCAAAAAGTGACCTCATGTAGAGCTGAACTCTAGAGAGTTCTAAATATCAGGAGGATTCATCAACCAAGTGAGTGTCAAAGCAGAAAATAAAACTCAATAAATGCCAAGAGTGATTATCGTGGTTCAGTTGGGAGAAGGGAGAAGTTAGGTGCCAACTTCCCAGCCAATCCACTTTTGGCAGCCAGATTCCTACTCTGCTAAACCTCCTGAGAACATGCAATAGCAGCCCATACACACACACACACACACACACACACATTAAAATACCACCACAACATATGCGCGGAAACATACAGAATATTCATACTTCACACTTCTTGACAACTTAGATTGTTTTTCTATCTATGAAACACACAAAAAGAGTCGCACACAGGCAGGAGACAGCTGTGACTCGGTAAACTTTGTTTTTTGGCAGCGTCTCACTGTCGACAGGTTAACACCGGTGGGTGGTAGACAATATGTAGTGTCAGGGATGGAGCAGGAGGAAAAGGGTGAGTGTGTGTGTGTGTGTGTGTGTAAGAAGAAAGGTGGAGTTGGGTGGTGGCGGAGCTCTGGGGTAGAGATCCTGCAGAGTGGGGCAACAACACCCACACACACCTCGCCTACAATGGGAGAGCCAGGCTGAATGCCAGGCGCCCTGTGAAGACACACACCAACTGGGCTCCACACTTAGAGGGGAAGAGACCCCCGCATCACATACACGTACAGAAACTGTAGCATAAGCCAAAGATGGAGCCACTTATAGCTCAAAGTAATATCCCCGGAATCTCTCCCTATATCCTGCGAAAAGCCTGTAAGTGACAATGCTTACACACGGACCAATAAACCATTAATAATATGTAATCTTCAGGATTAGATCAGAGTTGTGTAAACAGTATAATCATATAAATAATCAAAATAACAACTTACTCCGAATGCAGCTTGTTCCAACTACGACATGAGAAGACTCCAGTATCTTTGTGTTTTAGGAGGAGTTGTTGGACGGACAGCGCTTTTAGAATATGTGTCTCATTGGGGTTTTCACTTTAGATCGCAGCACACAGCCTCTTGCGTCGGGGTTAATTCTTGTGCCATTCAAGAAGAATAGCCCAATAAATACGGTTTTTCGAACAGTGAAAACGAGGTTACGCCACAGCATCATGAATGCATGTAAACGAGGAGGTACTTTCACATCATTTAAACGGCCTAGCCGCAGGACACCACACATTGGGTTTGTTACGGAGTTTGCACGGCTGCCTTTAAACAGGAATATTCTCATTAGCCAAATACCAGTAATTAGGAATATTGTATTTTTGCTTTACTCAGGGCATCAAACAGAATGCTTTTTACAAAAAGGTATAATTGATAGATTGTCCTCAAAGTGCTAAACAATATCAGAAAATAGCAGGAACTAGTGCACAAAGCGTGTAGTCAGACTGGTCATTTATTAAGTTTAAAAAAAGGACACACTCAGCTGTGATAATGCTGTAGATCGAGCTACACAGACTACATGAGCTTTAATTCACTGACTCTAAATCAGTTTGCAGTTCACAACCCAATCAGGTAGTGTTTTTGATGTCCTAGTCACCTGAATGATTGCAGAATGCATTACTTGTTGATCAGATGACTTGTGGGAAACATGAATGCCGTGACTGTTTTCTGCGGACCATCAGAAGACATTCATGTGAGTCTATAACTAGACTATATTATTTATTTTCCGCAAATTGTATAAAAAAAAGTAGTTTTTTGATCAGAGAGCAGTTTGATCTGCCTTCTGATTAACTGGAACATGTTGCCTCTGCACAGACAGCAGGAGAGAAAACTGCTGATGACACAAAAACCACTGTGACAACAACAAAACTATTTCTGTAAGGATTAAACATTAGATGTGCACATGAGGGACAGATTGTGAAGAAAGCTTCAATTATTTCTTATTTTTTAAAGGTCTGCTGCTGGATTCGGCACGCAGAAATAAATGTAATACAAGTTTTTCATTGAAATACGGCAACTGGGTAAAAATAAACTCATTTTAAAACATAACTTTTCATAGTTCTACAAATTAATTCAAATTAAACAACAAAACCATTACCTAAAAAAGAAAACATTACCCCTAATGGAATCAGATGAAGATATAGGGTGAATAAAGGGTGTGTATTTGTGTGTGTGTTGGCGTACCTGTGCTTCATGCGCTGGTGCATGCGGCCGTGCTGCACACACTGATCCTCCATACCAGCGCAGCGAGCTCTCAGACTCTTTACGGACTCCTCGAGGTGTTGCTTCTCCAGGGCCAGCTGCTCCAGATCCCCTCTGCACACACAAAGACAAACATCAAGACATAATATAGAGAAATTATGTAAATGCAATAAAACAGATATAATAATAAATAACAAAACAATCAGCCAAGATAAGTCTAAACAGGTTAGTCCCTTGTCTCCTCAGACCTTTACAATCTTAAGATCTGTAGTTACTTGTTCTTAACACCATTTATTTTCCCAATTACACTTTCGCGGCCCAATACAACAGTTCTGCAAAGCAATCTGACAAATTCAAGTTGGTTTCTCAGCTGCCTTTGTTCTTCGTTTGGAGTCTTTAATGATTTGTTTGTAAAACTCCTTCAGATACTCATAAACTGGTTTCAGCACTACCAGTGCCTGCGTTGTACGAATTGCCGGTCGCACAAGCCATGCCGGCATGCAGTGCTTACGTTCATGGTCACTAGTTGCAAACGGATACCTTCAGTCTACCATTCATCAAACACAGGAGCATGATCTGATAACTGCTCAGAGTCAGACTAACAACTGAACACCATTTGTCAGTAGTTTCCTCCTCTTGCTGTCTCTTGTTGTAACCTCTCTTAGCCCGAGTGGGGCCGTCCAGCAGGACTTTAACCGCTACACTGGGCTTGGACTCCAGGAGCTCAAACAGCCTGAAGCATAAACACACCAATACCACACTGCTGCTAAACTACAGAACACACACATACAGCAGAAGTAGGCTATGAGCCTTCATGCCAGTGTGTCAGCATGTATGCAAGTTCCTATCGTAAAAAACACATTCAAGGTGGCAGTTATTACTGTGTGCTTGTTTGTGTATTTAGTATTGATGTCCACTCATAACAAATACACAGGGTTCTCAGGACAGTGCGGTCTGGCAGGGCCAGATTGGGAGCTGTCATGTGACTAATGTGCAGCACAGCTCCAACAGCTGACAGGACACTGGGCCCAGGGTCACTCTCACACACACACAGACACACACCCGAGTACATGAACACACACACAGGCAGCCCAGATGGAGAGCTGTGCAGGCCTGCTGTGACTACTGTAGCATCAGGTTAACAAGAAAACAGGTCAGACTGCAGAGCAGTGTGTAACATGTTGACATGCTCTGTCCAAACAGCCTGCATAGATGATGCCTCATGAAATGATGACATGGATGTCCAACAGAAGCGAGGGATAAACAGCCGAGCGGGTGAATAATTAACGGGAAAATACAGGCTTAATCAAAACAATGACCAAACGCAGATTTTGATTACCCTGTGAAGTAGCGTGGGATCATAAGATAGATAAGATAAAGCTTTATTGTCTCCCTTAGGAGAAATGTGTCTTGGGCATCGAGATAATACACATAAAACATTCAGGTCAATCAGTCATAGATACAGAACAGAGATCACATATCACATGGCAAAGAAACAAACAAGAAACATACAGGTACAGCACTTTCCCTATTGCATTCATACATAATCAAATATTGCACTTTTCCCCATTGTATTCATACACAAATCAATATTGCACTTTCCCTATTGCACCTGTGCATAGTGTCCGTCAAATTGCACATATCCCTATTGTGTCCATACCTATTTACACATAATACACTTCCCCTATTTAACCTTCTCGATTGCACAAACTACACTGTAAACATTGCACCTCCCAACAACTCCTAACAGCATAATCATGGGAGATGTTGTCTCATTACACACATTACAATCATTCAGCTTCCACAGGTTTCTTAATTGTTCCAGTGGCTTTTACCAGAAGCTGAATTATCTGCAGGTCTCCTCCTCTTCCAAACTAACCGAACGGATCAGTCAAATCTGAATAACGTTTGCTCAGCCTTTTCACTTGTTAAACAGATGTCCAATGAAAAGATATTCTAATAGGTCAAAATATGTAGTTAAAAATGAGAAAGATCCAAAAAGATTTGTCTTAAAACTCGGTTAAAAGTCAATGGACTGTTGTTTAAAATTGATAGAAATTGCAGATGTATCCAGGTTAGTTGTTAAAACCATTGGGGAAGTACACACACAACAACAGAATATATAACATGGCTCAAGTCCTTTTCGAAATGAAATGTTGCATATACATTTGAATAAAACGTGAGTAAATGGACGTTCAAACAAAGAGGAAACGGCACGAAAGACAAAATACTGACCGGCTGTTTTCTGTCAGCTCTTCCAGTTTGACTCCCAGCGAGTAGCACTCGTCCTTCAGCTTCCTGATCAGGGAATTCTGGGAACTCAGCAGCCCATCCAGTTCTCCAACTGCAATGGATCATGGGAAAGTTGTTGGTTATTGTGAGGTCAACTATAGTGGGTGACTTTGAGTAGCTGTCAGAGATCCTGGCCGCACAGACACTTCATTTACACACTTTTACTTTACAGTCCACACGCTCAATCAAAAGTCCACAGGAACAAATGAATATTACCTGACTAGCATGAGACACATTTTGAGTCAATGCAAGGTTTTCTGATGCTGTGCATTGAATACAAAGTGAACACACTAAAAAAACAGACACAATTAAATAATGCTTTAAAAGGGTTGTGTTGAAAGGGGCTATATACAGTGGGGCAAAAAAGTATTTAGTCAGCCACCAATTGTGCAAGTTCTCCCACTTAAAAAGATGAGAGAGGCCTGTAATTTTCATCCTAGGTACACTTCAACCATGAGAGACAGAATGGGGGGAAAGAATCCAGGAAATCACATTGTAGGATTTGTAATGAATTAATTGGTCAATTCCTCGGTAAAATAAGTATTTGGTCACCTACAAACAAACACGATTTCTGGCTCTCACAGACCTGTAACTTCTTCTTTAAGAGCCTCCTCTGTCCTCCACTTGTTAACTGTATTAATGGCACCTGTTTGAACTCGTTATCAGTATAAAAGACACCTGTCCACAACCTCAAACAGTCACACTCCAAACTCCACTATGGCCAAGACCAAAGAGCTGTCAAAGGACACCAGAAACAAAATTGTAGACCTGCACCAGGCTGGGAAGACTGAATCTGCAATAGGTAAGCAGCTTGGTGTGAAGAAATCAACTGTGGGAGCAATTATTAGAAAATGGAAGACATACAAGACCACTGATAATCTCCCTCGATCTGGGGCTCCACGCAAGATCTCACCCCGTGGGGTCAAAATGATCACAAGAACGGTGAGCAAAAATCCCAGAACCACACGGGGGGACCTAGTCAATGACCTGCAGAGAGCTGGGACCAAAGTAACAAAGGCTACCATCAGTAACACACTACGCCGCCAGGGACTCAAATCCTGCAGTGCCAGACGTGTCCCCCTGCTTAAGCCAATACATGTCCAGGCCCGTCTGAAGTTTGCTAGAGAGCATTTAGATGATCCAGAAGAGGATTGGGAGAATGTCATATGGTCAGATGAAACCAAAATAGAACTTTTTGGTAAAAACTCAACTAGACGTGTTTGGAGGAGAAAGAATGCGGAGTTGCATCCAAAGAACACCATACCTACTGTGAAACATGGGGGTGGAAACATCATGCTTTGGGGCTGTTTTTCTGCAAAGGGACCAGGACGACAGATCTGTGTAAAGCAGTGTTTCTCAAACTTTTTCATTCCAAGGACCACTTAACCAATAAAAAAACACTGGCGGACCACCTAACTCCACAAATATCAAAAAACACATCGTTTTTCTAGAACAGATTACAAATCGCCTGAAAATGCTACAAACAAGTGGCAACATGTGTGATGAAGGTGTTGCGCTGGGCTATATCATGCAATCGAAAGTGAAACTTAACCTCGCTCCATTGCGGAGATATTCCCGCGAGAGTGCGGAAAACTGAAATTTATTTATTTCAAATGTGAAATGTTACCAATATACTCACGGACCACTAGGGGGCGCTCACGGACCACCAGTGGTCCGCGGACCACACTTTGAGAAGCACTGACTGTAAAGGAAAGAATGAATGGGGCCATGTATCGTGAGATTTTGAGTGACAACCTCCTTCCATCAGCAAGGGCTTGAAGATGAGACGTGGCTGGGTCTTTCAGCATGACAATGATCCCAAACACACCGCCCGGGCAACGAAGGAGTGGCTTCGTAAGAAGTATTTCAAGGTCCTGGAGTGGCCTAGCCAGTCTCCAGATCTCAACCCCATAGACAATCTTTGGAGGGAGTTGAAAGTCCGTGTTGCCCAGCGACAGCCCCAAAACATCACTGCTCTAGAGGAGATCTGCATTGAGGAATGGGCCAAAATACCAGCAACAGTGTGTGAAAACCTTGTGAAGACTTACAGAAAACGTTTGACCTCTGTCATTGCCAACAAAGGGTATATAACAAAGTATTGAGATGAACTTCTGTTATTGACCATAATTTGCAAATAAATTCTTTAAAAATCAGACAATGTGATTTTCTGGATTTTTTTTCTTCTCATTCTGTCTCTCATAGTTGAGGTATACCTAGGATGACAATTACAGGCCTCTCTCATCTTTTTAAGTGGGAGAACTTACACAATTGGTGGCTGACTAAATACTTTTTTGCCCCACTGTAAATAAACTTGCCTTGCCTTTAAAATGATATGCGTATTTTATAGAAAAAACTATTCAAAAAAAGGTCAAAAAGCTTATTTCTTTCAAATTCACAGATCAAACAAGCTTAGTGAACAACAAGCGCAAGCTGCGGCTAAACGTACGTCAATTAAAAATGGATAGAATACGAAAATTGGATTTCCTTAGAATTTATTTATTTTCATTTAAGTTACAATTTATAAAGAAGAAAAATACATTGTGGATCTAATCAGTAATGCTAGTATGATTCAATACACCTACCTGATGTACTGTATAATAATAAAAGTTAGTAAAAACACAACTCAAAGGATAGCTAATTATCGCCAACAATACATTTCGAGCAAACAGCCAGAGGAGAACATCGACACTATGGACAAAACTGCACGATTAAATGTAGTGTAACAAACACTGCAGCAAAAGTGAGATACATATGTCTCTTTGAATGTATTCCCAAAAATGCTTTGGTCGACATTCACATTAATATCAAAACAACAGGCGGGGACGTACAGAGCACAAACACAGAGAACAGAGGATGGGAAAATAAAGAGTTTAGTGAGAAGGGTAAAATGAGATGGAGAAAGAGAGGGGGATTGTTGTTTGAAAGCGCTTTCTTTCTCCTTTCCACCCTTCCTGCCACGTCCTCATCCGCTCACGGGGGCCTCTTTCTGAACAATCCAACACTGGGCTTTCATCATTCCTTTGAAATGATCCACGTTCAGCTCTCCAACATATGTCTGCTCTTTTAAAAATAATAATGGCTGCCGTTTGGATTGAGGGAATGGTCCACCTGCTCCTGCATTCTGTTACAGTCAACCCAAACCAAAAACACCAAGGACTCACAGTCTTTGAAAAGTAGCTCACACTTGTGAAGAGTTGCTTTTTTGCATACAGTAGAAAATAATCAGGTTGGGGGTAAGGAAAAGGAAGTGGGGGAAAAAAGTAGTGGAAGAGCCATGATGAGAAATTCCTACGTTTTGATACTTACTTTAGACCTGAAGGCTGAAATGTGACTACGCTAAACGTCTTAACATAAATGCTATTAAACAGTATTATAAAAAGGAAGACATTACGACTAGGAGGCCGATTTCTTCTGATGTTTCACGTAATATTATTAACTTTGGCTGCACATGTGAGGTAACCCCGCTGACCTTTCCCAGCTCTGTCCCCAGATGCCACAGAAGATGCTTGCAGGGCAGAAATTGGACGCTGCAGAGCGTGAAACTAAACGACTCAAACTCTGAGACACACACACACACACAGTACACTCAACAAAGTTTGGTCAGTGCTGGAAAAGTTGCATGAAGAATGCTAATTAGCTGAACAGGCTTTGAATGCGTCTGTCCATGCGTAGGCCAAAAAGAACCCTGGGACACAGAAACACAGCAGAACTGGCACTGGAAACAATCAGAGAGAAAAATGAGGCAGGGAGGGAGGGAGGGAGGGAGAGGAACAAATATCATCTAGAGGCTGCTCTGTACACATTTATGAAAAAAAGACACAGAAAAAAGGTGGGAAGGAGTGAAGAAGAAGGGAAAGGGGGGGGGGGGGATGCATGGAAGGACAAACGGACGGACAGAGAGGCGGGATTTGGAGAGCGGGAAAGCTAATTATCCAGCTCGTCTGTTGGGCAGCACGGGAGAGGAAGTGATGCGAGCGACTAAAAGGACGTCCACCCCTCAGTCCACAGTTTCCTGCTGTGCTCTGATGTCAGCTCTCTTTAGACAACATGTGTGCTGCCGACATGCGCCAGAAACAAACCCTTTGTTTACCCCCCCCCCTCCTCCATCTATTCCTCCCTCTGTACCCTCCATCTTTGTTCTGCGTACCAGCGGGCTCCCTTGGTTGCTGAAGGGAACCACAGGTAAATAAAAAGGCAGGGGCAGGGGAGGGAGGGGTTGAGGGTGGGTGGTGGGTGTGAGGGGGGGGATCCAGATGGTGCAACAGATGTGGGAGCAGCAGCAGGCAGACAGACAGGGAGCGCTGGGTCTCTCTGCGCTGCTCCCATCACCTCTGCTGCTCTCTCGTCTCCTCTTACGGCTTCTGGTTTGCCCTTTTGAGGTCACTTCACTTCCTGTCTGTCCCCTCCCACTCCGGACATGTGTGTCGGGGAGCAGGGGGGGGCACAGTAAAAGAGAAAAGCATCCTTTAACTGGAAGACGCAGGTTCAAAGACCCTCCCTGCTGAAGTGTCCTTGAGGAAGAGGCTGAACCCGGTCTGTATCCGACCCTGATTAACTCTGCTGTTTGCTCCGCAGTGTGCTCCATCATATTTAGATCTGCTTTGTTCTGCCCCCCCCCCCCCCCCACATCACAAAACAACTAATATGCATGTTTACCGCACTGACAGAGGAGAGTTTATATTTTGCGTCTGTGTGGCGTTGTTCTCGTGTGTGTGTGTGTGTGTGTGTGTGTGTGTGTGTGTGTGTGTGTGTGTGTGTGTGTGTGTGTGTGTGTGTGTGTGTGTTGTGTGTGTGTGTGTGTGTGTGTGTGTGGCCTGGTTACTGAAAAACATTTAATGCAGCTCTTTGGGGAGTCGGACCACCAACGTCTGCCTGATCCAATACAGCAGCCAGACCTGATCTCCTGCCATTCTAGCTTGAATGCCAAAGCATAGCAGAGACAGGAAGGTAATATTTTCGGTTCAGTTTGTCGGTTGGCGTGCATGGCTTTCAGCAGGATGATGGAGAAACTAATGGCCCAACTTGGTAAAAGGTTTTAGCGTGGGCCAAGGATAACATTAACATTCTGAGCAGATCCGATTGCCCTTCTGATTTAAAATGAAACTTAAGGCTGGCAAAATAATTATTATAGGGGTCATTTTATGCTTTTTGGGGTTTTCTCTTTCCTGTAGTGTGTTGTAGGTTGTTGTGCATGTAAACTGTCTGCAAAGGATGAAATCCCAAAGTTCCCTACAGAGGGAGGTTCTCTCCCACAAACTGAAACACCTCGATTGTAGTTTTCACTAGTTAACAATCACCCTTCTATTGGCTAGCTCCAACACATTGTACGTGATAGGCTGAGCGGCGGGACAACTCTGAGCGGTTCACCAATCAGAACAGAGCCGGCCAGCTAACCAATCAGAGCAGACTGGGCTCTGGTTTCAGACAGAGGGTGAAAAGAGGTGCTGCAGCACAGGCAGTATGAGAGAAATAAAGAGCTTTTTGAACATTAAAGCAAGGAGACATGTCACAGGAGAGACACTACTGATATGAACCTGAACATTAGCAAAATAAGGCCACTTATAGACGGACTGGCCTTAACAGTTCAAGGGAACATTGAACTGTGACACATTCAAAACATGATGCAAGAGATTATAGTGGACACCCATCAACAGCTAATACACCTGACTCTAAACTGAATTGAACTTTTAATATAGTATATTTTAATATTGTCTGCTTATCTGTATTATTGTGTTGCATTGTTGGAGAAGCCTGTGACCTAAGATTTTCAACGACATAATTACTCTGTAGCTATGTTAGTTTGACAATAAAGAACCTTGAACCTTGAATTGGGGGGAAAGGAAAGGCAGGTTTTTTGAAGAGCATATAGCCAACAAGACACTTAACTATATTTAAAAACAGTCACAGAGGTGTGAAGCAGTCTAAGTGGAAGCACTGACCTCTCTGCTGGTGTTCCGCCTCCGTTAGCTCCAGCAGCGCAGACAGCTCTCTCTCTCTGTCCCGCGCTTTAAGAGTTGTAGACGCCAGTTCCTCTTCATGAGCCCGCTCTGCACTCTCTCTGTGCTGCCTGGGGAAAAAGAAACGGGGTGTTAAAGAAACATTAAACCCAAACTTTTATAAAATAATTAAAAGATCCTCAAACAATCATTCATATTATTTATATAAATGTGCCTCAGGCGGCTCTACAGCATGTAACACCCTGTGTTCTTAGACCCTTGCAACAGATAAAGAAAAAACGCCCCTAAAATTGTTTGATAAAAATGCACAGGTTAGAAAAAAGCATGTTTTTTTATATGTACAATTTCATCACATAACTTACACCTACTGCGTGTGTAAAACCAGTTAGACCAAACAGAGACACTAAATGATGTTCTTTGCTTGAGATGATTGATAACTCGTCTCCTGCTTGTGGTGGAGAACATGCACATTTGAGGTGTTTTGAGTTTGGTTTGTTTTCAACTGCCCTATGACTACAATGTTGAATTGTCTTAATCAAAAGTGATTAACTACACAATCAAAATTGCAGTGCTGAAAGCAGTAGATTTTATAATTGCTCTAAAATGACATGTGCGAACTAAGCAAGACACTGATGTGGAACACCCAACGTCAGCATGAGTTATTACCGAATGATCAAATGAAGGCCTTTCATTTGTTCGAGGATTAAAACAATGAATCAGGCAAAGTCAGCAACCTCTCAAAATATATCGCTTAGGATTCGCAGATGAATCACTGCATTCCTACTAAATTCCACCATACTTGATTGTGAAGGATATCAATAAGGTGAAAAGAGAAAGACTGATAGGTGAACACAGAGGTGAGAGAGAAAGCAGGACGAGAGCACACACTGTAAAAACAAGAGGATGAAATAAAGGACGGAGAGGAAAATGACAGAAAACCATTGGGGGGTAGAAGGGTAAAAGTGTCAGGCCACTGTCGGCTTTAAGACCCCTGAGTGATACTGCAGCTGTCTACAAAACACACACACACACAAAGATACAGTCGAGTACAGACTCTTCAGTATAGACTCTTTTGTCGTGTTAAAAAAGATTGTTCTGCTCTGTGATTTAAGCTGATTGCCATAGAACTTGTATCCAAATCATTCAGTTTCGAGCCATATTAATTGCCAAAAAAATGCAAACGCTACACAAAATAACATCAGTCCATCAATCGGAGTCTGTAGTTATGAAGAGGTCAACACATTTGGTGCCAATCAAATCGCTTTGATCTCCACTTTTCTTGGTCTAAATATCTAAATGGTGCAGGTAAGAGGCACATTGAGGTGTTCATGCCTGCATTTCACTCCAGTTAGCACCAAACTTTCTAACTCGGCTAAGTGTACCCAAACAACAGAGGAACAGACAAAGAAAATTTTTTACAAAGACAGGAAAAAAAACGAGCAAATAAACAGAACTCTTCCTGAAGTCCAAAGGCGCTAATGAAGAGAGAATTCTCCAGTTTAAGTGAAAACTTTTCTCCCCTACAGCGCTTGGCCTGCATCTCTAAAGTGACCGCGTCTGTCTGTTCCTTCGTGTGTGTGTGTGTTCTCCTGCTGTCCTGCTGTCTGGGGTGTGAAAGCGGGTGGCGGGTGTGCAGGGGACACAAGGAGAGTGTGTGTATCTGTACTCGTATGAGTGTGTGCGTGTGTGTGAGAGTGAATGAACCCCCGCTGGGCTTGAACAGCAGCCTGAGCCACCAAAGCGCACACCAGGGCTCAGCGGGAGATGGCGGGCAGGCGTTGCCAGCCATTTGGTCCTGCAAGAGGTTCCAGGGGGCCGTGTGTATTTGTGTATGCCCGTGTGTGTGTGTGTGTTTGTGTGCGATTGGGGGTGGTGGGTGTGGGGGGGGTACTCACACCAGACCTGTTTACCCACCAATTAGCATCAGACAGACCGCCAGAAAGTTCCAGCAGTCAGCAATAGAGAGGTGGTGAGGAAGAGGAGAGCGATGAAAAACAGAAGAGGATAGAAAAGCAAAAAAACACACAGAGAACTACACATTTGGCATCTGTTTGGTTTTAGCTGATAAACTGAACCAACATTTAACAAGTACATCTTAGTAAAGTTGTACAAAACTGAGTTGAACAACAGACTCTCGGGACTTTATTTCTAGATGGGAGTGGGAGAACCTTGAGGAGCATTTTCTGATTCTAAGTTTTGGTTCAATAAGTTAGGATTGAGGAGTTTACATTTCTGTGACAAGGGTCTAAAAGCTTCATCCAGAGCCAAATTAAAGTGGAAAGTCCGGCTAGTTTATGAAGTTATTTCCCCTGCGCCATTTTCTATTCCCAAACAAATTCAAGGCGTATACTTGCAAAGCGCTTTCACAAAATGGCTGCTGGTGAACACTGTCAAATTAAAGCATAACAAGGAGAAAGCAAAGGAGAGATGTCAGTGGAGAGCCAAGCCCTGGAGCAGGCGTTGAGGGCGACGGGGAGAGCAGAGGCTGAATGTGTGGGGGCTGGAGCTGGATAATTCTCCCTGGATAATAATCTGCCTTCCAGATAATTGGGGAATGGGCTCTGGGTTGCTGCCTATGGCAAGAACTGTTGTTTGGGCCTAGGAGGCAATAGACTGAATGTTCAGTTAGCAGATAGCTGGGCCTGTTTGTATTTGCCTGGCCTGATGCTCCATAGGACAGCTTGATAAGTATGGCGAGAGCCGCATGGGCCAGCGGCCTAAGGTAGGCTGGAATAGCTCTGGGGCTGCGGCCAGGTACAGTGGCTGCTGGGTAAGTGGGAGGTGGCAGAGGCGGTGGCTGGCTGGCGAGATGGCTGGAGCGGTGAGGAAGAAGAGGGGGCCCAGTCTGCACGGCCTGCCTAAGTGGGCACTATTCAAGCTGTTGCCCATTAGATGTGGGGTGCCAGGGCCTGACCAAGCACGGGGTTTGCAGCACCCCATGGTGCAGCCGGCATCCCACGCCAGAACCACCAAATGCCGCGGTTTATCAGAGAACGAGCACAAATTGGAGTCAGACGGTGGACTTGGAGGAATTGGAGACATCCGCCAACGCCAGACACCACTGACCGCTGTGTGGACTAAAGTTAAAGAGACTATTGCAATACACACAGCATCACCCGATACACATACACACAAACGTAATACATACAGTTTATTAACTCACACATAAATAATATGACTTGATTCATTAAGCTGTCTAAACTTGAGTTTTTGGATGCAATGTATAGAAGCAAATACTGTATACAGAGGATCTATTTGTACATTAAAACTAAAGAAAAAAATCCCTTAAACTAATGCATATTCATATTTATGCCCAGAGACGTTTCGGTGTTGCAAAATAACAGGTGTGAAATTAACATACAGGTGAACATAGTGTGAACTCAGCCTATAGCAGGGACACGTAAACACAGAAGCGTAGTTCGCAACAAAGGGCTGTTGAGGAGGAGATTGAGAATTAAGTGGAAGACCAGATTTAATAATACTATTTCTGTGACAGAGGACCATCTGTACTAATGACTATAATCATGGCAATTCTCCGTACATTGAATATGAACTCAAATTCCAAATGAGCTGTTTTAAATGTCATTTTCATAAATAGACATTGTGCATTACCTGTCGAATCTTAGACTGCTTGTAACTCTTATATCTAAGTAACAGTATAAACAACAAATTATCTTTAAAAGAAAGTTGCATTTAAAGACTATTTTAGAGTGATGTACCTGTAGTCTCGAGACTTGCTGTTGATTTACTGAAATGCACTGATGCTTTACTATGAAATTACAACTGTTGGTGCCGAACTGCTCAAAATGTTGACACTCGTGCCGATTCATTTTTGTGGAGAAATTCCAGTGGATCCACAGCTACTCATGATAGACTGCATCAATCAGCGCGCATTAATATTCAACCGTTTGATACGCAGAAGTACAAAGATGATTTCTGCTAATGTGTGAGTGGGCTTGTGTTAGTGACTGAGAGACGGTGAGACACAGGCCTGTCTGACCCGCACTGCCAACAAAGGAGGAGTGCACCGCCGAGAAAACAAAGTGACATATTGAGCTGCGTATCATTGATGCGGCGTACAATAAACATCTGAATTGTTTCGTTTAGCAGACAGTGTCACACGATCTTCTCTCGCACGCACCTCGATGTGTTTTAGCGCATTTTTATTAAACCTTGAGGTGATGTAAGTCAATCTGCTCCCACATTTTTCTTCTGGCACTCCTCCCCTTACAGTCTAGTTGCCAGCTCATAGAGGCCTATTGTGAACCCAGAAATGTTGAGTACCCCAACGTTTTAGGTCAGGAATGTAAGGTATGGGTCCCCAGCACATAGAAACTGCCGGATGCTAACTTGCATATGTTGGGCAATTTGCACAAGTTGCATTCATTAGCGTTAAAGTGCATTATAGCCGCTGCAGACAATGCTGGCAATCAGAATATTATCTTGCAGCTTTTCTTATGAAATCACACACAGCTGGATGTAGCCTAGCCGCACCTTTACCCTGCGTCCACTCTATCTATCTGTCCATATATCCGTCTGCGCTCATCTCTCCTCCGATCCTTTTTTTCTGCCGTTTCCATCTCTCCCTCCTTCCTCCTTTTTTCCCTCCCACCCTATTTTTTCCTGTAACTAAACTGGCTGTGTCTCTCTCCATCTGCTGGTTCTTCCTTCAGCGGCCCTGCACCTGTTCACACCTCCTCTCCTGTTGGCCACCTCTTCTCTCTACTCCCCTCTCTCCCCCCCCCCCTTTATCTCCCTCTCTCTCTCTCTCTCTCTCTTCCTCCCTCTCTATCAGTGCGGTGCTGCCAGGCCCGTTTCCTGGCTCAGTTAGCCTCTCTGTCATTCAATCCATCTGTCGGCAAGTCAACTTTGTTTACAGCGGGTGGCCCAAGCCTCTTTTCTTCTTCAAGGAGCGCTAAAGCCCCCCCCCACTGCCACCAAGGTCAGCAGCAAGCCAATCCTCGTGGAAAACTAAAAATTGCAACTGTTAAATGAACATAAACTCATCCCCCAGCACACATGTACACGTAGGGAGAATAACTCTCTAGAAACATGCACATCCTAAATGTTTCTCAATGAGACATGCATGTAGACACGGAGAGCTACATCA